TGCTCCCACTGTTACCACACCCGCCTGTCTCCTGAAGGCCTGTTCCCACTGTTCCCACACCTGCCCCATCTCCCACTAACAGTGAACCATCATTCCATATCAGTAAGAGCAACCTCATCCTGTTACAGACACCTTGTACTTTACTGTAGAAGCAACATGGTGTGTTTAAGCAGTCCCCTACTGGTCCCCAAAGCTGTCACCAATCGTTTGCCATTTACATGTACACATGTCATCTTGAATGTATGCAGTTCTGTCTGAAGGAATTCTTTAAAATGGGACAGCTGAATCTAAAAATATATACATTTTTAATTTTGATAGATATGGCCAAATTGTCCTTTATAAGATTATGAGGTATAGTACCTAAAACAATCACAATCCTCCTGGCTTACCAAAATGTTCTCAGCTTAATACTGTAGATACAACTTTTCACTGGGGAGTGAGGAAACAAGAGGAGAGTCACACATACATGAGTTCCCATCAACTTTCCAAAGAGACGCAAAAGTTTAAAGTTATATCACCCACATAATTCTTACCCAGTTGGAATTCAGTCTTGGGCTTGATGGGTGGAAGTTTATATTGCCATTCAAAAGTATTTGGATAAGAGCTCACTGGTTTAGAGAGCCCAGATAAAAGCTCTTGAATCAATGTATCATCCCACGGGTTTTCAACAACAAAATCTTAAAGGAATAGGAACAAAAAAGGAAAAATAAATTCAGTATCCAATAATTTTACCAAAGAAGTTACAGACAAAACAAGTGGAGACATCCACTCAATAAACTTTCAAAAGCCTTATTCTTTAAGGAGACTGTTTAAACACCAAAGTTGGCAGTTCTCCGCAGTCACTCGTCTGCCATTTTAGATCTACAGATGAGATCAGTGTTCCGCTGTGACAAAGGACACCAGCTCCAGGAGCTGTGGTGGGGCTGGGAGAGTGTCTCGTTGTTGTTAGCCTGTTCTCCCTTATCCTGCTGCAGAACCATTGACTCTGCTGGCCGGAAATGCTAGATTCTGCCTTTCCCACAATTACGGGTGTATGGCTTGTAGGCAGGCTGGGGCATTAGTTCTCGGATGTGCTCAGACAGCTGTGTATTCTGTAAGTTGCTTTTCTGCTTACAGGCACAAAACACATTGCATTTTAACCCTTATACCACCTTCATGCAAACGGTGTGTATGAGATTTACTGTGGGCCTACGAAAGGGAAATCATTTGTAAAGGGACAACTGTACATGATGTGCCTATTTAGATAGCCTGTGCTTTCTGAATGCTTCGCAAAACGGATTACCAAAAATGCAGGTGACAAAAACCCTGAAAATAATAAATTCTGACTGAAGAAGAAAATGTCTTTTTTCCAGCGTAGAATGTCATGAAACCATGAGTGGCAGCCACCAGAGACTAATCCAACGCGGCTGACACTTGGCGCTAAGCATGTGCGTGATGCTATTCCGAGTGCTCGACATTTATTAATGTGCTCAGTTCTCACAAAGATTCTCTGAGGTCAGTACCCGTTGTTGTTGAGTCGATTTGGACTCATAGCGCCCCTGTAGGACAGAGAAGAATTGCCCACAGGGTTTCCAAGGCTGTGATCTTTACAGAAACAGATTACCACATCTTTCTCCCGTGGAGCGGCTGGTAGGATTGAACTGCCAACCTTTCAGTTAGCGGCCGAGGGCTTAAGCACTGCACCCCCAGCACTTAGGTCAGTACTAGCATCATCACATCATTTTACACAGAGCTGAGATGATCTCGGCCAAGCTCACAGGCCTACTTAAGCGGGGAGCAAGGATTAGAACCCAGCCAGGCTATCTCCAGTCTGTGCTCTTAGCTATTGTGCAAGACTGTCCTGTGTAAGAGTGGGGGGTTTTCTTCAACCCTGAGCCTCAGTTTACTTCTCTGTAAAATGAGGATGTTGTTGTCAGGTACCGGTGAGTCAGTTCCAACTCACAGCGACCCTGTGTACAACAGAACGGAACACTGCCTGGTCCTACGCCATCCTCACAGTTGTTGATGTCCTTGAGCCCAGTGTTGCAGCCACTATGTCAGTCCATCTTGTTGAGGGTAACAGTATTAAATTAAAAATGCATGGCGCATACTAGGCCCTTAAGTTCTAACTTCCTCCTCCAACAGCAGTTACTTTGATATCTTCTAAAATTAGAAATGGATCATTTTCCCTGCAGGCACGACACTGCTGTGCTGACTCTGAGGCCCTTACGCTAGCCCTGTTTGAACTCCTGTTCCACCCGATGACACTCCAGCCCCAGTTCTCTGAGCTTCATTCATGGAACAGGTTTCCCCTGCTACTGTCCTCATTCAGCAGCACAGTTAAGATTGAGCCTGTGTTCATACTTGGAGCAGCCGCATTCCCAGCCGAGCTACTCTTCGTCCGTTCTGCGTGGAGCCCAGAGGGTCTGGCTCCTGGCGGGTCCTCCTCCATGGCGACATCAGTATCTGTGAGTTTACAAGCCTCAAGGCTCTGCTCTGCCTCGCTGGTGAGCACACCGCCTGCAGTGGGCTGGCTCCGGCTGAGTAAGGGTGCTGAAGGCACGTCCACGCATAATGCTTGCTCCGGGCTTTTCTCTTGAATTGGACTGGACGTGTGAACGGGATAGAGAAGAGTGGGGAAAGACCAAACAAACAAACAAACAAAAAACACCATTGCTCGCTGGGTACAATTTTTAAATTAAAAGGCAAAATTTGTTTAATTTGCATTAATTTTATTGAGTTAACCTTTTTTTTAAAAACATGTTTATTAGTTATTTTTTCTTTTGTAAATTTTCCTCATATCCTTTGTCCACTCATTTATTCATTGGGATCTTAGATCAGATAACACTTTTAGTAAGATTTTTGATAACAAGTGGCAGTATACAGGATAGCGGTAAGAGCAAGGGTTCTGAAATCAGAGAAATATGGGTTCAAATTCCAGTTCTGCCACTTAGAACCTGTATGACTTTACAGCAACTATTTAGCCCTCGTGAGACCTGGTTTCCTCATCTACAGTGGCGGGGGAGGCGGATACCTCTACCACTGAAGTTACTATAAGGCTTCATTAAAGGACACAGTACATGAAAAGCGTAAGAACCTGGAATGTAAGTACCCAAAGGAGGGCAGCTACTTCTTCTCATCTGCTACATTTACCAGCCCATTCGAATACAGTGGGATTTTATGTCTGCAGAGCATTACTTTAGGGGAAATCTGCATTTTGCACCAGCATCTAAGAGGCTTAACATTTCTGTCCTCCACCTCCTCTTAAAAGAAGCGTATCAGTTTCCTCAGTTACAGTGGGAGCAGAGCACCAGTGGGTGCCTGCTCAGTCCTGCAGCACTAAGGCTGGTGAGAGCATCTGCAGGTCTGCTCCCCAGAGCTGTCCTCCCTGCTCTGGAATGTCAGGTGTCCGGCGTCAGCCTTGTGTTCTGTCTACAGAAGTACTCTGGCTTAGAATTAAAAATCAAACAAACAAACAAAACTGTATTAACCTTTAGCGCTAGAGTTGGGTATTCTATTACAGTTTAAAAACTAAGCTACAAGGGAAACGGAGAAACCGACAAAACTAGGTAAACCCTCACAATACCTGAACTTTCTGGGTTTTGAGGGCTCCACCGTATTTTCTTCAGAAGCATACAAAGTCACACGGGTGCACTGTTTTGCTACGATATTTTCTGAAATACACAGAGAATTACAAACACATTATAAACATATTCACGCAATTTGATATGGGTACAAAGTCTGGTATTCCTTTTTATACTGACTTTTATTATGATTTCAAAATCGTGTTCGTATGGTAAACGTGCTACTGTTGTTTTTGTTACGTGTCGTCCAGTCAGTTCCGACTCACAGCGACGCCGTGTACAACAGAACGGAACACTGCCCGCTCCTGCGCCATCCTAAACGGTTGTTGCTGTGTTTGAGCCCATTGTTGCAGCCACTGTTGTCAGTCCCCCTCATTGAGGGTCTTCCTCTTTTTCGCTGACCCTGTACTTCACCAAGCACAATGTCCTCCTCCAGGGACTGGTCCCTCCTGATTACATGTCCAAAGTAAGTGAGACAAAATCTCGCCATCCTTGCTTCCAAAGAGCATTCTGGCTGTACTTCTCCCAAGACAGATCTGTTCATTCTTCTGGCAGTCCATGGTATATTAAATATTCATCGCCAACACCATAATTCAAATGCATCAATTCTTCTTTGGTCTTCCTTATTCACTGTCCAGCTTTCACATACATATGAGGCAACTGAAAATACCATGGCTTAGGTCAGCTGCACCTTAGTCCTTAAAGTGATATCTTTGCTTTTTAACACTTTAAAGAGGTCTTTTGCAGCAGATTTGCCTGATGCAATACATTACCTGATTTCTTTACTGCTGCTTCCATGGGCACTGATTGTGGATCCAAGTAAAATGAAATCCTTGACAACTTCAATCTTTTCTGTTTATCATGATATTGCTTATTGGTCCAGTTGTGAGGATTTTTGTTTATCTTGAGGTGTAATCCATACTGAAGGCTGTGGTCTTTGATCTTCCTCAGTAAGTGCTTCAAGTCCTCTTCACTTTCAGCAAGCAAGGTTGTGTCATCTGCATATTGCCGGCTGTTAATAGATCTTCCTCCAATCCTGATGCCGCATTCCTCTTCATATAGTCCAGCTTCTCAGATTATTCGCTCAGCATACAGATTGAATAAGTATTGTGAAAGGATACAACCCCGACATACACTTTTTTTTTTAAATTGTACTTTAGGTGAAGGTTTACAGAACAAATAGTTTCTCATTAAACAGTCAGTACACATATTGTTTTATGACATTGGTTAACAACCCCACGACATGTCAACACTCTCCCTTCTCGGCCTTGAAGGACCTTTTGTTTTTTGGTGAAAATATACATAGCCAAAGATACACCATTTCAAAAATTTCTACATGTACAATTCAGTGACATCTATTATGTTCTTCCAGTTGTGCTGCTATTCTCACTTTAGATGAAGGTTTACAGAATAAAATCGTTTTTCATTAAACAGTTAGTACACATATTGCCCTATGACAATGGTTAACAACCCCATTACATGTCAACACTGTCGTTACTCAACCTTGGGTTCCCTATCACCAGCCTTCCTGTCCCCTTCTGCCTTCTAGTCCTTGTCCCTGGACTGCTGTGCCTCATTAGTCCCGTTTTGTTTTGTGGGGTCTGACACACACTTTTCCTGATTTTAAACCATGCAGTATCTTCTTGTTCTGTTCGAACAATTACCTCTTGGTCTATGTACAGGTTCTGCATGAGCATAATTAAGTGTTCTGGAATTCCTGTTCTTCACAATGTCATCCATAATTTGTTATGATCCACACAGTTGAATGCCTTTGCATAGTCAATCAAACACAAGTAAACATCTTTCTGGTACTCTCTGCTTTCAGCCAAAATCCATTTGACACCAGCATTGACATCCTTTGTTCTATGTACTCCTCCGAATCTGGCTTCAAATTCTGGCAGTTTTCTCTGAATGTACTGCTGCAAAAGGTTTTGAATTATCCTCAGCAAAATTTACTTGTGTGTGATATTAAAGATATTATTCCATAATTTCCACGTTCTGTTGGGCGACCTTTCTTTGGAACGGATACATATATGGATCTCTTCCAGTCAGCTGACCACGTAGCTGTCTTCCAAATTTGTTGACATAGATGAGTGAGTACTTTTTAACACAATTGATATTCCGTCAATTCCTGGAGCCTTGTTTTTCCGCCAATGTCTTCAGTGCAGCTTGGACTTCTTCCTTCAGTACCATCGGTTCTTGACCATATGCTCCCTCCTGAAATGGCTGAACGTCGACCAAGTCTTTTTGGTACAGTGACTGTGTATTCCTCCCATCTTCTTTTGATGCTTCCTGCGTTGTTCAACATTTTGCCCATAAAAACCAAACCAAATTCTTTGCTGTCGAGTCGATTCCAACTCAAAGCGACCCTATAGAACAGAATAGAACTGCCCCATAGGGTTTCCAAGGAGCGGCTGGTAGATTCGAACTGCCGACCTTTTGGTTAGCAGCTGAGCTCTTAACCACTGCGTCACAGAATCCTTCAATATTGCAACTCGAGGCTTGAATATTTTTTTTCAGTTTTTTCAGCCCAAGAAATGCCAAGCATGTTCTTCCCTTTTGCTTTTCTAACTCCAGATCTTTGCACATGTCATTATAATACTTTACTCGGCATAGCGGCACTTACAGAAGTACCTGGTGTTGAGGAGGGCGTGTTTCGCAAACAAACGTAGAAGGTGCAGTTGCTTGGGTAAAAATACAGTATTAATACGTATTAGCATTTAAACTCTATACGTGTACTCTACTGACACTCCTTCAAGAAAAAAGGGTCCAGAGAATGGCACAAAATAGACAGGGTAGGAATGCAGAATAAGCTTCTATTCTATCGAGTGACGCTAACATTGAATTAAATTTTATCAGACATGCCTCACCGCAAAGGTGCTAATGCTTTTTAGTACAAGAACATTACCTTCTGTTTATAAAACCAAAGTGACAGATACTCTACAGAGAACAGCCAACACTGAGAAGACTCTTGATTGATTAAACTAGTTTTCCCTAATGGAAAAAGTTTTTTGTTTTTTTTTAAGCTGAAGTGGCAAATTTGTGATGGTACTTGACGATTGTCCAAGTTTCAACTGAACTCTCCTTTAAAATTCTAAAAGAAATAGAACATATAGTAGTTCTCTAAGAAAAAAATTCTTACTCCTCAGTGAAAAATTTTTAGGTCTCCAAGGCTCTGATGTCACATTAAATTATGCTTCCATCCATAGAAGTGAAATTCTTAATGGCAGACCTTTCATTATTGCTTTGATGGGCAATTGTTATTAAAAAAGAAGAAAATGTGCCAGCAGTGATACAGTCTGGCTAGTATAGCAGTAGTTGTGAAAATGGTAAAGTGGTCCCAGATCTCATAGTACTTACTTTATAGGCTGGTACTAAACAGCTAACAATTACCTGTGCTCAGTGACAATGTCATATATGAGGGTTCAATTCAGACATGTAAAGATCTCTTATAAGGGGTGTCGCATTTGGGGTGGGGTGGAAATTAGGACTATTTTCATGAGCTTTTCCATTATTCTCTTGAAGTCAGATCACTGAAAAAAACCAGGAAAATATGATTTTCTACGTACAGTACTTGGCTACACTACATCTCTAAAATAATAAAATTTGTAGACTAGTAACAGGGAATAAAAAATTGGCTATTTGTTATGCTTATTATTTAGAAAATACAGGTTTCCATTATTTTTAGCAGTCAAATAATCTGTTCATAGTGGCCTTTTTGTTCAGTGTGAAATAAACATACACTACATAATCAGCACCGTGGTTAAGAGCTCGGCTGCTAACCAAAAGGTCGGCAGTTCGAATCTACCAGCTGCTCCTCGGAAACCACATGGGGCAGTTCTACTCCGTGCTGAGGGTCGCTGTGAGGCGACCCACTGGTTTTTGTGGGCGCACAGCCGGGACGAGGCAGCGGTGGTTCAGTGGCAGAATTCCCGCCCCCCACGCGGAGACTGGGGTTTGCGTCCCAGCACGCCATGCACAGCCACCACCTGTGTCCGGGGAAGCTTCCAGACAGGGACGGGCGAGGAAGAAAGCCTGGCAATCTCCTTCCGAAGATCCGCCAGTGGAAACCCCGTGGAGCGCAACAGTCAGATCTACAGCCCGCCTCGGCGACGGCGCGAGACCAGGCAGTGATCGGTTCAGCTGCGCGTGGGGTCACCGAGAGTCCGGGGGCCCACTCGAGGGCTGCTAACAGCATACAGTCGGCTTGTAATCTTTGTCTTTAAAGCTCTGATAGGGCTTCCCTTGATCTACCTAGGACCTAAGTTATTAAATTTTAGAAACGCACAGGCTTTATGAAGACAGCATGCAAAAAGAAAGAAGTATATAGGTAATAATACAACGAACGATTATTACGTTTTCTCTTTACGGTTTTCAAACTTCTCTTTTATGATTTTCAAGACGAAAACTATAGTAAAGAATCCGAGTTGGCAGAAAACAGACACTGAAATAGTACAGCGCACACCTTTATCTTCTAGCGCGTGCACTGAGTCCGCCGGGAGTTTGTGGAACGGGGTAGATGCAAGCTGAGCAGCAGACGTAAAGTCTCCTGCGCTCTTAGGAATGGGTGCCAGGGTCTTATTGCAGCGGGTGCCCCAAACGGCTGAATCATCCAAAAACTCTTCAGTATGAGGAGGCGCTTCCTACAACAGAGGGCAACATGAAAAAAAGCAACTTTCCCTTTTTCATCCATGAAATTTAACACAGTAATACCTTTTAAGACATTAAAAAAAAAAAAAAAAAAGGAATTGAAGAAGAAACAGATGTCGACCCCTGGCTGACACACAGCCGAGGACATCACTGTTCTGTTCTTTTTCCCAGAACTGGGATGCTCTGTCATTAACATACCCCCAGAGGAATCACATACCATGCAAATGCTGAGTTTTTGCTGTTTTTACGTTTTTTTTTTAAATTGGAAAAAAGGTTAAATTTACAGAAAAGTTACAAAGATTGTACAGAGTTCCCTTTACTAAGCTTCCTCTGATGATAACATCTTACACAACCATGACACATCCGTGGAAACTAAGAAAACTGACGGATACAGCGCTGTCAGCTACAGACTTTACTGGATTTTACCGCTTTCCCTTGGAAGTCCTACTTCTGCTCCCGGATCCAGTCCTGACACCACGTGGCATTTAACTGTTGTGTCTCCTTAGTCTCCTCTCATTTGTGGCGGTTTATTTGTCTTTCCTGATCTTTCTCGCACTGACACGTTTGAACAGTGGTGGTCAGGAACTGCGTAGAATGTCCCGATTTGGGTTTGTTTGATGTTTTTGCTCGATTAGATTGGTTACACATTTTTTGGTAAGAACAGCAGAAGTAAAGTGCCTTTCTCATTACGCCCTATCAGGGGATACATGATAGCAACACAACTTATTACTGGTGAAATTAACCCAATCACGTGGTTAAGGGAGTGCCTTCCCTGTTTCTGCACTGGAAAAAAGTTACTATTTCCCCCTTTCTCTATTCTTTTTGTTAGAAGCAAGTCACTAAGTTCAGCCTGTACTGAAGGGGAAGGAAATTAAGATCCACCCCCTGGACAGAGGACTATCAAAGAATTTGTGGACATATATATATTAAAACCACCTCAGTAATCAATAAATGATTGGAGGGAGACATTTTGAGGCCACGCAAACACCCTGTTTCTTCAGGTTTCACCCACGACTGTGCGGATTCCCCTGCGTATCTTCTCAGTGGCCGTTATGACTGCGGTGTTCTAGCGGCAATTGTCTATTGCCATTCATTCCTTCTGTATTGATTATTTGGAATTCTTGCGTAAGAAGATTGTCCTTTCTCTCCCATTTACACCTTCTCCTCACTTGTTGACTATATCGGTATCCGACATTTCGCACTTACGTCAATAGTAAAAAAATCCACCATCTATTTGTGCATTAACAATGCATGTCTGGCGGTAACGAACACTGCGGTGTGAGGCGAGAATAACGCTGGCTGTGATGGTGAAGACTACGTGTCACCCTGGCTGGGCCATGATTCAGTCGTTTGGCAGTTATGGAATGATGCAGTCATTCTCCATTTTCGCAGAACAATGATTTTGTATAATGACCTAGTCTTTGTAACTTAACCATATTAGTAAGTGAGGAGAGGGTGTATTTATATCTATATGGATATTTATTTTATTTCTTGGGTTATAACCCCATGCTACCTTATTCTATTTATTTTTTGCTCAAATTGTTCCAATTTTGGACACTGACTCGTTCAGGTTGACTCCTGTGTCCTGTAGACATGCCCCTATCTTTTTCTTAGCTTATATATATATTTTTAATCTTCTATTCTCCTTGCTCCAGCCCTAGAACCAGCTATTTCTCCTTGAGTGCAGAGGTCAAGTTTTAGAGTCTGTGCGTAAAGACAGAAACCGCAGACTCACATTTGAGTTGCCCATAAAATGCCACATGTGGTTTTTATATATGCTACTTTGTCTTTGTACATTTCAGCATATTTTCTGCCAACACTGGAGGAAGAACTGGCTGGTTGCTTCCTCAGGTGGACATTGACTAAAGCAATGGCTTGTGTTTAGGGCCAGGAAAATGCATTGCGTGTTTTTTTTTTTTTTCTGGTTAAAGCACATATAGTTGAATTTATGTTTAGTAAAATGCATCTACGAAGTGATGCCACTATATATGAAATCTAGTCCTTTAATTGGAATAGTTTTAAGAAGAAGTTCAAACAGTTTATCAGAAGGGTTAGAGGTCTCGGTAATAGTTTATTCTAAAGAGTCTACTGTGGAATTAAAACCAGGATCCAGGGTTCAGCACCAACACTCTGCAGCACGACGGCCGGAGGGGCTGAGCACAGACAAGAGTGCACACGGGGAATGTCAGGGCCGGGACAGAAGCCGAACAGGCGCTGGACACAATGACTACAACGGAATACCGCTGGGGGCCCCAGAACACGGGACGCTTGTCTGCTGAGGTACGCTGGTGACGGACTACTCCAGTTTACTTCAGATTTGTTGTTTTTTCTCACTAACGTGTTCTAAAAGAAACACATTCATTATATAAGATTGTACCTTTCTGTGTGGTTTCACACACGCCGTCTCATTTGATTGTCACCGTCATGAGGTAAAATGAAGAGCAAATGGTTGTTAAGACCCAGTCTTGGATGAAGCAGGGAGATTTACTCACATTTGGTTTTGCAGAAAGTCTGCTCATAGAGCGTTCTCCAAAGGTCCTGGCTCCTGCAGGTTTATTTTTAGGTTGTGGTAATCTAAGGAGAGATTTGCAAAATTATAAACAGTACAATATGCTAACTTAAGTGACCGTGTCAGAGAAATTCTCTACTTAAATTTAATGAGTTAGATACCCCTTACTTTTACAGCAGTTCTAGAAAACTGAGTGAAAACTGAATTAACTTAAGCTACATAAAGTAAATGTAGAGTTGCTTGAGTGAAGGTGGAAAATACAGAAATTTCCATTACACTGAGGTATAAGTTTTTGGGACCAAAAAGAGGACCATGGGCAGTAGAATGTCACAGATGCCATGCAACATTTTATTTCTTAGTTACAGCTTGGTCTAGCGATGGAATTCCTCTGAGAGCTGGCCACGCCCTTTCACACTGACACCTATCGCTCCAGGATTTAAGCTGTTAACAGGAAAGATTCCTGGAGCTATCCCACTCTACCTCCAGATACAGCTCTCTAGTGTAATGTCCCTCAGTCTTAAACACACTCACTCTGCAGCCCTTCCTGATATAAACCACTTCCTTTTCTACCTTATCAACCTGCAGATACAAACAGAGCGTGTATGGATACCTATACTGGTGAACTGCTTCACATATGATACAACTTCAAATCCACAGAATCCCTTAGTTCTCTGACGATTTATAACCATATGGTTTTCCTTTTTCAACACATGCTTTTGCTACAGTAGGTCTGCCTCCTCTCAGAACTTCCACAGAGTAATGCAGATCTGGAGAAAAACCTTAGCAATCACCACACCATCATGTGACCACAAGGCCCATCGGTGGCAGAGCCGGGACTGGATCCCAGCCCATCCGATTGACAGGCCAACATTCTCTCATCACCACCTCACCACCTGGACCCCCAGAGGGGCATCGTCAGCTTCCCTATATGACTATGACAATTTATATCTCCCCCAAATCCGATGCTTCTTTACCCGTAATTTTCCTTGTTTCCATCTTCAAATACAGGAAAAGCAGACGACAAAGAAGAGATAATCTTACTGACTCCCCAAACCCCAGACGACTTTGCATTTTCTGAAATAGAATAAACAATAGCATTTATCATATTAAAGGAAGACACTATCATTTACGCTGAACTTCAACTGTAAATAAGAAATTCGAATAGCAGCTTACAGGAAAGAACTGCTATCAGCTTTCTAAACACTCGGTAACGAGACGCGTCACTTTTCAGTGTGATGAAGTGATTTGACTACGGTCACAGGGTTTAGTGTAGAACCCCTGGGTCCTGAGTTCCTGCCACCACCCCACCATGCAGCCTGTCACATATACAGCAGGAGGTCACCATTCTCTTAAAACACTGTTATTGTCACTTGACTTACTAAATAAAAGCTTTCAGGGTTTTGTTTTCCATTTCTTACAGGCAAGAATCAACCTCTCAGCTTCACGTTTTCAATCTTCCCAAGTCGAACTGGATCCTATTTATCTTTTACTCGTGGTCTCTCTGACTCCCAACAGGAATCCCGACTCTAGACACACGTGAACTCGTCAATGGCCCTCCAACCCTCAGCCCCGCTATTCCTCTACCAGGAAGGGCTCACATCATATTTCACCTACTAAGTCCTTCCAGGCCATTCCTGCCCATGGAGATTTTAGTCTTCTTTAGCATTTACTATTATTTTAGAAAAATACAGCAAACCTGTCACACACATTGATTACCTTGCCAAACACTGCTGTATTTTAATTTCACACATTTCCCCTGCCCTTACACGACAAGTTCATCAAGGGCAGGACTACCTCTGGTTTACTAAAACCAAACCCATTGCCATCAAGTCAATTCCGACTCATAGCAAACCTATAGGACAGAGTAGAATAGCCCCATAGGGTTTCCAACGCTATAAACCTCTACAGGAGCAGATCGCCTGTGATCTTTACAGAAGTAGACCGCCACATATTTCTCCTGCAGAGTGGCCGGTAGGTTCAAACTGCCAACCTGTCAGTTAGCAGCCGAGCACTTAACCACTGAGCCACGAGGGCTCCTACATCTTGTATAATCCCTGATATTTTCTGTGGCCATCACTCACAATGCTATGCACTCAGTAAGTCTGAAATACATTTTATTACTTTGAAACTGGGCTTCAAATGCATCTTCATTTTGATCTAGAGATGACCAATTATCTTTCTCGTCAGAAATATCAGGAAGTGTGGGAGCCTGAAACATGTCCATGATGAAACCTTAAAAGAACAGAAAGAATAACTATAACCATGATGGCAAAAGTGCTTTCATTAATTTGTTGTAAGATGCTACACACACAAACAAAACACTTTACCTAATGCTTCTTTTGTGTGAACAGTGGGTGACGGCTGTACTTTGGATGGCGTAGCCTGGACCATTCCCAGTGATGTGTTTGGAGTTGTATGAAAAGAACTTGTGTTAGTAAGCTTCTGTGCTTCACATGCTATGGAAGGAATTGGGAAAAAACATAACATCAGTAGAGAAACCAAAATCATGTAGAAGGCATGCAGTTTAAGTACCTTATTGCAGCTAATAAGGAAGACCAAGGAAGAATCGATGCCTTTGAACTGTGGTGGTGGTACATGGAACACTGAATACACCATGGACTGCCAAACAAATGAACAAATCTGTCTTGGAAGAAGTACAGCCAGAATGCTCCTTAGAAGGGAGGATGGTGAGACTTCATCTTATGTACTTTGGACATGTTATCAGGAAGGACCAGTCCCGGGAGAAGGACATCATGCTTGGTAAAGTAGAGGGTCAGCGAAAAAGAGGAAGACCCTTAATGAGATGGATTGACGCAGTGGCTCCAACAATGGGCTCAAGCATAACAATGATTGTGAGCATGGGGCAGGACCGGGCAGTGTTTTGTTCTGTGGTGCATGGGGTCGTATGAGTTGGAACCAACTTTACGGCACCTAACAACAACATTACAACCAATACAGTTTATTACTGTCACTAATCATCACGAAGGACTTCTATTAGCACAGTGCTTTCATACATTTCATTTTTGTCTTTATAACAGTCCCCTGAGATAGGTAAGGCAAGAAGTATCCTTTTACAAAAAACAAATTTTAAGGCTCAAAGAGATTAAGTGGCTGGGTCTAAGATCATAGCAAATTAGAGACCTTATCATAAACAGCACTCTTATCTCCACTGTATTTCAAGTAATACATGTTGACAGTCACATTGCAAATGTTAGGGGTGGACTCCCATCTCACTCTGCTGAAGTCCAGACAACGGCACACAAAACCTTGCGTAATGGAGCCCCAGCTCCTCAGACCTCCTCGTCCTCACCCTCCCTCCTGCTCACTGCAACTGCAGTGCCTCCCTGCTGTTCTCACGACACTTCAGGGACATTTCCACCCCAGGCCTCTGCTGTATTGCTGGTCCTTCTGCTGGAAACAGATTTTTGAAGACAGCTGCCTAAGGGGCTCCCTCCTCTAGATCTTTACCCAAATATCACCTTCTTAGTGAGGCCTTTCCTGCTCACCATCTATGAAACTTCAACCCCCTCCTCAGCCCCAACGCTTTCTTCTCCTTCCACATGGTGGGGATTTCTGTCCTTCTTGCTCCTGACTACATCCCTGTTAGGAGAACACTGCTGGAGCCTGGCGAGAGCGCGTACATCTCCCGTAAATGATCCCCAGCTGTTCATTTCAAACAGCTCTGCTCCCCACCCAACTGTTAACAGAAAGGATGTCACAGTCACACTGGGGGGAAGAAGTGAATGTCCAGGCCACAGGTCTCATTTATTTATAAAACTCATCTTGTATGCAAATGCTTCTAACAGAGTAGTATCAAAAGAAGTTTTCCTGAGAAATTTAATAGGAAGTTTTCACAAATTAAGTTTGTAAATAATTCTAAACTAGTACAGGGTGTCTAATAAGTGAACTTCTACCTTTATCTGACACGGTCAAGGGCTTATATAACCTTCTACAGTCTAAGAAGGGGACAGCTGACACCCAGTTCACTAAAGTCTGAGGCCTTAAAGCACCACAGCTACAGAACAGACCTCTGACCAACGCGGAGGGGTTGGGCAAACCCGTCAGAAGCCAATTTATCATGATTAAACGTCACCTTCTTTGATCTCCACTCCACTCTGAGGCTTGAATTCATGAGCGCTTTTACCCTCACATTTCAGAAGAGAAGTCTCTCGAGACACGCTAAAGAACAGAAACGCTCATGTTAGAATTTTTAACTCACTCGAGAAACAACAGTAAAAAGCAGTAAACAACCACAAGCCTGTTGTTAAAATACAGACGGAACTGCTTAGGAATGTAAGTTAAACAAACAAAATATCTTTTTTTCTTTTCATTTCTTTAGGGGAAAAGAACTACAGACAAAGGCCAGGTACTCAACATTTAAATGACACAGTGGTTCTGCATTTTACCACCACAATAATCATCTCTAACTACAGAGCAGGACAGGATGACGGTCTCCCTAAATCACTGATCTCAGTGTATTACACAGGCTAAGGGGCTAGACGCCAACTCCACGCACAGGGAGCCCAGAGCAGGCACAATACGGCAGCACTGACGGGTTTGAGCAAAGACACAGGACACTCTTCCTGTGATGAGCAGTGGCCGTATTCTCTCCAGACTTAAAAACAACAGTTTTGAAAGAAAGAAACACTGTATACAAAACAGTATATGGTAGTCTGTTTTGAGTACAGTGGACTTCATCTGTCTATTGAACATTGCTAGGATTCTTATAAATCTTGTTAAGATGTAAAGTAAAAAGGGAAAATAGTGTGTGCATGCCCTTTTAAATGTTACAAACTCCTATACAAACATGACTTAAAGATAGCCAAAGTGACTGCAGGTAAACATTTTAACAAAGCCCCAGCAACAAAAAGTGATGTGACGTCATTTTCAAGGTGCACAAAAATACTTCAAAACCGGGGGACACCTCCACAGCAGTGCACACGAGGGCTTCGGCATACTGTGCCACGGATGTTAACCCCCAGCCACTCCCCATGGGAAGACAGAAAGGATCAAATCTGAGATGACAGGTCAAGGAACTGTCTGGTTAGCAACAATCCCTCAAGTTACTCAGTCAGAGCCAGGTCAGCAAAGGCAGTTTCAGTTTAATAGCTGTATATTCTTCAGGAACAAAAAGATTGTTGAGTTCTGGGGTATTGAAAAAAGATTTTAAATATATAATAATTTATTAGTTATGCATGTTTTCATTACTCATTTAAGTTTTGCTGGCTAGTAACAAAACACCCAGACATATGGAATAATTAAATTCAGTTGTCTTTGATATTTTGCAAACTTTCGATCATATAAAAACATAGCTTTATACATTTTGATTTTGCCATTATAAAGGGAAAGTTAGGAAGATAGAATATATTTTATTTAATAGTTTTTAAGTTAGATTTACCATCTTGAAACATTTAGGCATATGATGTGCTGGCTTCTCTGTGTATTCTTGCCGTGGGCCTCACAAATATTATGGGGTGGGCCTGAATGTACAGTTAGTACCTGTTTGAAGGAGGACTCGAGTCCCTCATATCTGAATTTAAGTCCAGGACTTTTTTCTTTTTTACTGTGCTTTAGATGAAGATTTACAGAACAAATTAGTTTCTCATTAAACAATTAATACACATATTGTTTTGTGACATTAGTTGCCAACCCCGCGATGTGTCAACACTCTCCCCTTCTTGACCTTGGGTTCCCCACTTCCATTCGACCAGCTCTCCTGTCCCCTCCTGCCTTCTCGTCCTTGCCCCTGGGCTGGCGTGCCCATGTAGTCTCGTATACATGGTTGAGCTACATGTATATTACTGTTTGTTTTATGGGTCTGTCTAATCTTTGGCTGAAGGGTGAACCTCAGGAGTGACTTCAGTACTGAGTTAAAAGGGTGCCCGGGGGCCATACTTTCAGGGTTTCTTCAGTCTCTGTCAGACCAGTAAGTCTGGTCTTGAAAATTTTTTAATTCAAGAAAAAAACATGAAATATAACAAATACTCTAAAAGCAGCATGGAATAACTAAGTCTAAAAGATTGGGGCCAATGTTTCGGTGACTTGGTTTTTCAACAACATACTCATCTGAACGTTATTCTAAAACCAGGAACACCCCTCACTGACATGCTGCCCGATGCTGCACGAAGAGAAGCCGACAGACGCCGTCCACATCACTGTCATCTCCAGGGTCACCTACAGCTTACCTGGCATCTTTTCCGGCTGCTGCAAACGCAGAGTCTGTCACTGGCTGGGCTGTCAAAGGAGGAGGGTGAGCTACACTCTGGCTGACAGCTAGGGACACCGAAGCAGTGGTGACGGCATTTGCCATAAGTGGTGCCTCTCTGGGTTTCTCTCTCATGTTGCTTGAGGCCTGCTCATCTACGGCTGCAAGGGACGATCCTCTCAGTTCCTCCTGGGGGCCCATGCTCGGCCCCACGTGTGCGGCATGAACCTTTCATTGTAGACAAACAGAAACAAAACCAAGAAGTCCAGAGATTACTACCTAGGTATGTATGAGGTATGGCAGCTTTTCAAAGAAGTGATTCCTTTCCCCTTGAAGCATTCCCTTAACCCCGCAGGTATTCGGAAACAAAGATTCTACAGGAAAGACCATGCTATATGAGGGATGGCTTTGTAGCTTCTTAATCAGACACAGCTGGCAGCTCATGCTTCTAACCATGGAAATAACCAGCCCCTACACTTTTATCAGTATTTAAGAATTGTCTTATTTCTCTTTACTTAATTTTGGAAAAGATCAACTATCAATGTTATGAAATGCTCACAGTGGTTTTTCTTCCATTAAAATCTCGTTGGCAGCCATTTTCTCTTGGATGAACGGAAAAGATGAACATCAGCTGCAGTAGTAAGCGCTACAAAAGCACAGCTCACACTGGGAAGGATAAGAAGCTCTGAATTTAAAAATTATGGTTTTCTATGTACATGTTCTTAGCCTGTAATTCTACGCTCTACTGTTATAAAGTTAAAAGGCAGAAGGGTTAATATTCTCACCGTATAAAAGTACCACAAATTGTTAAGAAAAACACCAGATCTCTAGGGCAACAGTAGTTATTTTACAGACAAATGGACAAGATATAAAAAGTTCATCAAAACCTTTGTCATCAAAAAAGATAATTCAAAATGACCTACACCATTTTCTCACCTACCAAATCAGTAATGGTTTAAATTAACCATAATATTCAATTCTGAAGAAAAATTAGAAATATTCTTAAAGGTAAATATATAGTAAGACTAGCTAAATAAATTAGGGAACGTTCATGCAATAGATTACACAGTATTATAAATTGTATTTTGAAATAAAATTAGTAACGATCGTGAGCATTTTCCTAAGTAAAAAGGCATCTAGTCTTTATAATTTCTAACTTAGCTTTAAGAAGTGATTAGGAAGTACAAGACTGAAGAATAAAGACAAAACTCGGAATGAATGAATAATGTGTGTGTGTGTGTGTG